AATGACGTCACAAGACGATAATGTTTAGGGGAAGATGCTATTTTTGGTTCAAATCTCGGTATTATAAGCGTATTAAGACTAATTGTTGTTGATGATAAGATTTTTTTTATTTTAATTTTGTTGGGGATGAATTTTTGGATTTTTTTTTGACGTTCAAGTATTGAAAATTGAGTTTGTTTGAAAAAAATTAAGTTTAGTTATTTTTAAGAAATAAAGCTCATTTGATGGAAAATGAAGTTCACGTGATGGAAAATGGCTATTAATGTAATGCAAAATAAAATGTGTGATGGAAAATGGATTTTTGTGATGGAAAATGAAGTTCATGTGATGGTATATAGAGTTTGTGTGGTGGAAAATAATTTTCCGGAGGATACATTTTATTTGCTGCAAAATGAAGTTGACTTGATGGAAAATGAAGTTTATGCGATGGAAAATTAAATTGATGCGATGGAAAATTAATTTTAGTATTTTTAGGGAAAAAATTTTATTTGATGGAAAATGAAGTTGACGTGATGGAAATTGAAGTTGACTTGATGGAAAATGAAGTTTTTGTGATGGGAGTTGGGGTTCATGTGATGGAAAATGAAGTTGACGAGATGGAAAATGAAGTTTTTGTGATGGGAGTTAGGGTTCATGTGATGGAAAATGACAATGAATATGATGGAAGGTAAAATATTTATGATGGAAAATGAAGTTCACGTGATGGAAAATGAATTTTTATGATGGAAAGTGAAGTTCATATCATGGAAAATGAATGTTAATAATTTTTTAGGGAATAAATTATTTTGATGGAAAATGAATCTTAATAATTTTTTAGGGAACAAATTTTATTTCATGGAAAATGAAGTTGATGTGATGAAAAATGAAGTTGGTGTGATGGATAATGGATTTTATGATGGAAAGTGAAGTTCATGAGATGGAAAATGAATCTTAATAATTTTTTAGGGAAAAAATTTTATTTGATGGAAAATGAAGTTGATGTGATGGAAAATGAAGTTGGTGTGATGGAAAGTGAATTTCGTGTGATGGGAAAATAATTTTTGTGTGATAGAAAATGAATCTTAATTATTTTTCAGGGAATAAATTTTATTTGATGGAAAATGAAGTTGATATGATGGAAAATGATATCCAATGTTGATAAAAATTGAATAATCTCCATTAATTAAAAATTGAAAATATAATTTGATGGAAAATTAAGTTTAGTAAATGTAAAATGATGGAAAATAAAGTTTACTGTATTTAAAAAAAATTTTAATTGATGTAAAATGAAGTGTAGATCAAAATTGAAGGTCATTTGATGGAAAAATAAATTTTGATCAAAAAAATAGTAAATTTTATAGAAAATGACGTTAATTTATTTATTTCTTTAAAAAATAAAGATTTTTTTATGTAAAATTGATGGAACATGTATGTAAAGTTAAATGTATCAAAAATACACTTTAATAAAAAATTCTAATTTTCCTTCTATGAAATAAATTATTTTCGTAACAAATCCTTGCAAAATCTGAATATGTAAATTCGAAGAACTCAAAGCTCCATTTAATAAAAAGGTAATGTATATTCATAATAATTAATCTCAGCAATAAAAATAAAAGTTTAAACAAGCAACCCAAAAATGGGACATTTAACCTACCGCAGATTTATAGGATTAATATAACATTTTTCGAGTCCGTTTTATTTAACTGCGTTACCTGTATTGGTATTTCACCCTCTGCGTCATAACATAGTGCAGCTATGTATATAGATCAAGCGCTTCCTTCAATATTATTTTCCGAGTTGTTTAAACAGCTGAAAAAATGTAAATCGCTCTGAAAAAAAAAATTAAATTAAATACTAAGAACCGAGACAAGATATCGGTGTCAATTTAAAAAAACAAATTATTTTATTCTTAGAGTTTCTATATCGATTACGGAAATAGAAGTTCTCTTTGACTTTCAATTCCAATAATATCTATTATTCACTCTGTGCTCCTTTGTTCATTTGTATATATATATTTTTTTTCGAGGGTTTGTATTTATTATTTACCTTTGCCCTGTTTATTTGCTTTTGCTCGTTTTTTAACAGGGTAAAACAAGAAATTCTATTTATTGAAACCGCGGGTGTAAATATAAAGTCAAATGACAGGGCTTTGTTTTTCTCCTCGTGATAAATAATCTTTATTTTTTCCTCGGCTGTTATTTTTTTTTTTTTCATTTTATTTTATACCGCTTTATTTTGTTGATGTCAAGTGGTGAATGAAAATAGATTGAATAAAATTTTGTTAATACTTTTTGTTTATTTTATTTTAATTAAAAAAAAAACTTTTATAATTAATTTTATGCGTACTTTATTTTTCATCAATTAAACTTAATTTTTGATAGAAATAAAATTTATTTTCCATCAATCCAACTTTATTTTCCATCTAGTGAACTTCATTTTCAGTACAAAAAATTAAAAAACTTCATTTTCCATCAAACCAACTTCATTTTCCATCAATCTTACTTCACTTTCCATCAATTATATTTAATTTTTCATCCATTGAATTTCATTCTGAAGAAAGATAAAAACATCTTCAATTTCCAACAACGAAACTTCATTTTCCATCATTGAACTTCTTTTCCGTAAAGTAAACTTCATTCCCAATGAAAAATAAGTAAAACTTCAATTACTATAAAAACAACTTCATTTCCCATCAATCTAACTTCACTTTCCGTCAATCATATTTAATTTATCATCCATTGAATTTCATTCTAAAGAAAGATGAAAAAATCTTCAATTTCTATCAAAACAACTTCATTATCCATCAAACCAACTTCATTTTCCATCATTGAACTTCTGTTCCATAAATTGAACTTCATTCCCAATTAAAAATAAATAAAACTTCAATTTCCATAAAAGCAGCTTCATTTTCCATAAAAACAACTTTATTTTCGTCATAACAACTTTATTTTCCATCAATCATATTTAATTTATCATCCATTGAATTTCATTCTGAAGAAAGATAAAAAAATCTTCATTTTCTATCAACACAACTTTATTTTCCATCAAACCAACTTCATTTTCCATAAATTTAACTTCATTCCCAATGAAAAATAAATAAAACTTCAATTTCCATCATACCAACTTCATTTTCCATCAAACTAACTTAATTTTCTATAAATGAAGTAGTTTTCCATCAAATGAACTTCATTTTCAATACAAAAAATTAAAAAACTTCAATTTCCATTAAAAAAAATTTCATTTTCCATCAAACCAATTTTGCTTTCCATCAATCACATTTAATTTAATTCTAGAGAAAGAGAAAAAAAACTTCATTTTCCATCAAACCAACTTCATTTTCTATCAATCAAACTTCATTTTCCATCAAATAAAAGTTATCGTCAAAGAAGAAAAAATTTTATTTTCCATCAAACGAACTTCATTTTCCATTAAATAAACTTCATTATCCATCAATCGAACTTTATTTTCCCTCAAATAAACTCCATGATCAATCAACGTTAAATCACTCTCATATTTTTACAGCAACCAAATTAAAAAAAAAAACCAATATTTTCTCTATAAATGTGTTCATATTTTATAAAGTGTATCTTATGCAAATATAAATAAATAAACATAATAATATTTTATTTATAGGTATTGATGAGACTATAGAATTAATAAATCGAGGGAATATATTCAGGAATAGTAGAGGGATTCACAAAGGGTGAGGAAGCTTCATAGAAGTCACTGAGTGATATATTTATGCATATATACACATATGTAAACAAAAAGATACTGTATGTTATATGTAATATGTTAAGAGTATGTTTACAAGTGAGTGAATAAAGGGGTGGTGGAAGTGGAGTATATAAGGAGCTGGAAATTAATTGCTAAGGTGCCGAGAACAGCCGCGCACTTAGTAGAATGAACTTGGAATCTTGGATGAGAAATGATGTTACATTATATATATTATATTATATTATACTATCTTATATATTTGTCTAGATCACTACATATATACCGTAGATCATATTTCACTTTATATTATTACATCACGTCGTATTAGTTGCTTTTTAGGTAATTTAATTGAAATAAAACGGATTACTTTATTAATTTTATAGACCATTACATAGTGCAGACGAAAATGAAGTTTAATTGATGGAAAATCAATTTTTTTAAAAGGAAAATTGATTTTTATTTTATTTAAATTAAAGTTTAATTTATAAAAAATTATATTACTGTGATGGAAAATAAAGTTTTTTATTTTTGTTAAGAATGAAGTTTACTTGATGGAAAGTGAAGTTTGTTTGATGGAAATTGAAGTTTAATTGATGGAAATTGGTTTACTTTATGGACGCTCAAGTCAGCTATTGACCGTAAATGAAGTTGGTTTGATGGAAAGTGGAATTTGTTTGATGGAAAATGAAATTGTTTTGATGGAAATTGAGGTTTTTCAAATTTTGTATCGAGAATGAAGTTCAATTTATGTAAAATGAAATTTAATGATGGAAAATGAAGTTGGTGTGATGGAAAATGAAGTTCAATTAGGTAAAAATAATTTTAATGATAGAAAATGAAGTTGATTTGATGGAAAATGAAGTTGGTGTGATGGAAATTGGAATTTTTTATTTTTTATTGGTTATGAAGTTCACGTGATGGTAAAAATATGTTCAATGATGGAAAATGAAATTCAATGATGGAAAATGAAGTTGGTGTGATGAAAAATGAAGTTGTTTTGATGGGAAGTTAAATTTGTTTGATGGAAAATGAAGTTCAATTGATGTAAAAAGAATTTTAATGATAGAAAATGAAGTTGATTTGATGGAAAATGAAGTTGGTATGGTGGAAAATGAAGTTGGTGTGATGGAAATTGAAATTTTTTATTGTTTATTGGTAATGAAGTTTACGTGATGGAAAAAATAAGTTCAATGATGGAAAATGAAGTTGGTGTGATGGAAAATGAAGTTGTTTGGGTGGAAATTGAAGATTCTTTTATCTTTCTACAGAATAAAATTCAGTGGATGATAAATAAAATATGATTGATGGAAAGTGAAGTTCAATTGATGAAAAGTGAAGTTGGTTTGATGGAAAATGAAGTTAAATTATAATGAAGTTCTTTTTGAATGTAAAATTAAATTGATGGAAATTGAAGTTTGATTGATGGAAAATGATATCAATTTGCTGAAAAAAAATTAAATTAGAACTAAAAAGAAACATTTACAAAAAAAATGTTTTCCAAATCATCATTAAAATAAATTTAAAGTTCCATCAATCAAAAAAATGATTAACCCTTGATACAAATTATCGAATCTAGGTCATGAACGGCAATTTATCTGATTGCAGTTTATTTAGATTTATCCTCGTTTTCAGGGTAATCCTTGATCATTACTACAAACAATTCTCCTAACACGCTACATACACGCTTTAATTGCACTCGTTAGTAAAATTTATTTTTTCCCCTTTTTTTTTTTGCTAAAAATTTCTGATTTTAAATTAAAAGCAAAGGTCGAGTTCACGGTCTCAATCGTTACTTTCATTTAATTACCGTTATTACAATCGCGTGACTAGTACGATGGTCTCTAATGAAAGTTTGACAGAAGAAAAAAAAATTTAATTTTCAAGGTAAGATACCGGGAGTGAATTTCATGACGAGAGACTAAATTTATTGACGAAGTTGATTGAAAAATAATATTTTTAAATTTAATTCAAACTGAGCATAATAATAATAATAATGTGGATGACCTGAATATCGCCTCATTTGATATTGTGAATTGAAACTCGAGATAGATGAATTTGAATTTATTGATTTTTAAAGTCTCGCTTGTAAATTTTATTATTATTATTATTATTATTATTATTATTATTATTATTATTATTCCTTTAAATCTGTAGAAATTTAAAACCAAAGTTTTAACGTGGATGTACGAAAAGTTTCTTGGAATAAAATTCGATTTCTCGAGGGAGTCAGTAATATTTTTTCATAATGTTACTTTATTTTTCAGGGGTGTGAAATGTCTCAAGTAAGAACTTCACGTCCAACTGGGCCACCTATTTCACAATCAAAACGACCAATCATTATTTATCCGCCAGGTGAGATTTTTTTATTATTTTTTTGACAAGGAGGGAGGGGGGTAGGATAATTTGATGGAAAATAATGAAGTTCATTTTTATGGAAAATGAAGTTCATTTGATGGAAAATGAAGTTCATGGATGAGAAGTGAAGTTCATGGATGGAAAGTGAAGTTCATTGATGGAAAACGAACTTCATTTGATGGGAAATGAAGTTTATTGCTTAAAATTGAAATTTTATATTTCAACAATGAAATTTATTTGATGGAAAATGAAGTTCATTTGATGGAAAATGAAGTTCATGGATGAGAAGTGAAGTTCATGGATGGAAAGTGAAGTTCATTGATGGAAAACGAACTTCATTTGATGGGAAATGAAGTTTATTGCTTAAAATTGAAATTTTATATTTCAACAATGAAATTTATTTGATGGAAAATGAAGTTCATTGATGGAAAACGAACTTCATTTGATGGAAAATAAATCTTGATAAGCGGAGAGTTAGAATTGAAGGTTAAATTCTTTTGATGGGATATGAAATTTTATTGATGGATATTAATGTCCAAATGATGGAATTTGATGTCCATTTAATGGAAAATGAAATTTATTGGATGGAAGTTGATGTCTATTTGATGGAAATTGATGTCTATTTGATGGAAATATCAATGTTTGATGGAAATTAAGATTAATATTCATTAAAGTCTACGATGGAAAATGAAATTTAATTGATGGAAATCGATGTCTAAATGATGGAAATTGATGTCCATTTGATGAAAATTTTTTTTAAACTTTATAAAGTGAATCTCTACTTAATGATAATTAAAGTTCATTTGATAGAAAATTCCCAATTTTTTTTTATTCATTGATAAACTACTTAAAAATCTTGTGATATAAAATTAATTAACCTTCAATGCTATTTAATTAGATTCGTAATACCGTCAAGATATAAGATACTTGAAAAAGAAGGTAATTGGCTGACCCAATTACTGTTGAATAAAATAATAGAATCAAAAGTCTAGAGTTTTATTAAGCAAATATAAAAAGGTAGTTATTCATTCAGGCACTCACTAGGTACATACACTAGTAAGTTTAAAATAGCCAGTATAACTCTTTATGACTCTTATAAGAAGGGTAGTAAAGTACAAAATTTTCTCTCTATCCGACGTCTATTCACGCGAATACTCCAAGCTCTACTTTCCGCTCTCCATTACACTTAAAACTTCCACTCATCTGACTCGTAATAAATTTATCCACCGGAACATTGGTGCTCTCACTAGTCCACTCTTCACTCTGACTCTTTACTCATTAGACACCTTTTATTTTTTTCCTGTTTCCTCTGAAAAAGTTATTTGACGATACTGAATAAATTATTATATTTTTATTTTCAGTCTCACCTGAAAGTATTATCGTGCCAATAGTGTCATGTATCCTGGGGTTTCCGCTGCTAGCTCTTCTGGTAATTTGCTGTTTAAGAAGACGCGCTAAGATGGCCCGCGAACGGGCCAGAAGGAGGAACTGCGACCTGGACCATGGAGCGCTTAATCTTGTACGATTTAGTCCGATTCATAGGCTAGGTTTGTATGAAATTTATAAAAAATTTTTTTGTCCGCAAAAATTAGAGATAAAAAATTTTTTTTTTCATTGTAAAAAGAGAAATATTACAAATTTCTTATAGAAATTGAAGTTTAATTGATGGAAAATGAAGTTTGATTGATGGAAACTGAAGTTTGATTGATGGAAAATGAGGTTCATTTGATGGAAATTAAAATTAGTGTGATGGAAAATGAAGTTCGATTGAAGTTCATTTGATGGAAAATGAAGCTCATCTTGTGGAAATGAAGTTCATTTGGTGGAAAATTAAGCTCATATTATGGAAAATGAAGTTCATATTATGGAAAATGAAGTTCATATTATGGAAAATGAAGTTTGATTGATGGAAAGTTAACTTCAATTTCCATCGTGATGGAAAATGAAGTTCATTTGATAAAAAATGAAGTTTGGTTGATGTATATTAAAGTTAGTGTGGTGGAAAATGAAGTTTGATTGAAGTTCATTTGATGGAAAATGAAGTTCATATGATGGAGATTATAATTTTTGTTTTGGAAAATCAACTTCAATTTCCATCTAATAAAGTTCAATTTCAATCGTATTGGCAATTAAAATTCGTGTGATGGAAAATGAAGTTAAATTGATGGAAAATGAAGTTTGATTGATGGAAATCAAAATTAGTGTGATGAAAAATGAACCTTATTGATCGAAATGTTAGTTTGATTAGTACAAAGATGAAGTTTGATTTATGGAAATTGAAGTTCATTTGATGGAATATGAAGTTTAATTGATGGAAATTAAAATTTGCGTGATGGAAAATGAATTTTAATGATAGAAGTTGAAGTTTGAGTGATGGAAAATCGAACTATGGTCCTGAAAATCAAGATCATTTGATGGAAAATGAAGTTTAGTACCTAAAAATGAAGTTTATGTGATCGAAAATGAAGTTTGATTCCTAGAGTATGAATTTTATTTTTGTAAATTGAAAATAAAATTTATTTGATGGAAATTAATATGCATTTGATGGAAATTGAAGTTCATTTGATGGAAAATGAAGCTCAATATTCATAAAATTATTTTCATGAATTAATCAATTTTTATTTCTCTATCTTTCAAGCCGTCAGCTTGAAAAAAAAAATAACTAGAAAGTTTTCAATCTCGCAGATAAACGGCGCGGAAAAACGCGAACTAGAATTTTTTTTTCACTTTTTTTTTTGTGTTTATTCGCTTGGAAAGCCTTTGAAATAAAATATACAGGCCACGTATGCAGTATGTGAAAATAAAAAAAAAAAAAAATAAATAAAAACTTTTTTTTTATTTCTTTGATTTTTTCAGTCGGAGTGGAAAAGCCTCTAAGAGCTGTTTCTTTAAAAAGCGATAGACCTATCAGGACGATCCCGAACCTGGACCTCGACACGGTCCTTGAGGAGCGGTCAGATGGCGAGCCAACGACCTCCGCTATAGAGATCAGCAGTCCTGACTAACATTTAGCCCCGGTGGCTTCTAAGTAAGTTCAAAAATCATTTTTTAACTTTAACAATTTTTATAAAAAAACCAATTGGTCCTAGAAAAAAATTTTTGGTACAAAAGTTGTAGCTTTAAGTCTTCTCTTTAAGACAAAATTTATCCGGTGTCTTAATTTTAATTACAAACCAAGGTGTGAATTTTTTAAGTACCAAAAACACGAAAAATTCCGGAAAAACCAAGTTTTTTGAGTTGGGGGTGCTGAAAACATGGCCGAAAAAATTTTTAATTGCAAAAATTTGTAGTGAATATTAAAGCTGAGACTCTAAGGATTCTAAAAATGCCGACGAAGACATAAAAATAACAAGTTGTCTATTTTTAATCCTCTATTAACCAAAAAAAATCAATTTGTCGTTAAAATTCTGAATTTTTAACTTTAACAATCCTAATATAAAATTGAGATGAAATATATGTGGCATCAAACTATTCGTAACGTGATTGGTTGAATATATCATAAGCATGAAAATATATGCAAACTCTATAGTTAGGCGCGCGCTTGCGCGCGAAAATTAAATTCTAGTTTTTATAAAAAAACCTATTGGTCGTAGAAAAAAATTTTTAGAACAAAAGTTGTAGCTTTTAAGTGTCTTCTTTAAGATAAACTTTATCCGGTTCCTTAATTGTAATTAGGAGCCAAGTTATGAATTTTTAAAAATTGTCTTAACTTTTTTAGGTCACCTCGGGGCTCAAAAACTCTTGCAGCGCCACCTTTAGACCAAAGTCCTTTGTGGACAGCGCTTACCCACGGTAACTCGATGACCAGCGTCGATAACGAGGACACCTAGCAGGAGGCGAACGAGGACGCCGGGAGTTTTATCGGCGCCCTCGTCCTGGAACTCCCGATAATTTACTGACACACGGCTGATTTGGAGATCCAGGTGATTCCTCCCACGCCCTAGTCCTCTGATGCCGATAAGGAAGTCTTGAGAAGGTCATTTGATGGCATATCAATTATACAAATCACAGACGCTTTATATATTTGAATTTTTGTAAATTTTTCGTAAGAGCACTCTAGATAATTTTAAGATTTTAACTGATCAAAGCTTTGAAGCTGCCGCCATTTTAATATATATAGTCTTTAGGAGTGTATATACGTGTCAATAATGTAAAAATTGTAATAAGAGTCAATAAATATATAAAAAAATTGTTTTAAATCCTTTTTTTGCTTCTTTTTATCAAATTTTTATTTTGACAATTTTTATTAAATTAACTATTAAGTTTAGAAAAAAACTTTTGGGACAAAAGTTGGAGCTAAAAGTGTCTTCTTTAAGGTAAATTTTGTCCGGTTCAAAAATTTTAATTAGAAAAAAAGTTATAGAGGTTTAAAGATGGAAAGTATGGAAAATTGACGAAAAAACGGGTTTTTTGAAGTGGGGGCGCTGAAAACTGTAAGAAAAAATGGCGGAATTGGAAAAATTTATAGTGGATCTTAAAGCTGAGACTCTGAGGATGTTAAAAATGCCGGCGAAGACATAAAAATAATAAGTTATCTATTTTTAATTAATTATTTTAACTTTCTACAAAAGATGTTTCAAATTTTTTTTTGAGCTTAGGCGAATAAAGAACGATAACTGCTAAAATAATGAAAATACGAAAAAAATGTATTCTTACAAAGTTGTAGAGAATAAAATTTACTACAAAAAATCTTTGGGAAATTTTTTTCTATCTCTCATAGTTTCCGAGAAATTGTCGATTGAAAAAAAGTTTGCGGCTTGACTCTTCAGCAAAACGACTCTTCTGGTCAATAAATCATCATAATTAATATATTTATTATATTTTAAGGTTACATAAGCTATAATCTGGTATATATATCAACATGAACATCATAATTTTCAAGATTTTGATTCTAATAACGACCGTGAGGATGATTCGGGCTTCTCCGTGAAGCAGCAACGATCTTCGCATCGTTATCTGGAGAGTCTGCTGCATCGTCAACGATAACATAGACAAAATCATCATCATTATCATTTACATCTCCAAAAACTCCGACACCCCGGCCGTTGGTCCGAACCCTAACGTTTCTATATCTCTGTCCGTGATTGCTAGAAGCAATGCATGATTCCTATGGTGAGTTCTCTTGTGATTCTTATGATGTCTCGGGAAGATAAGTCCGAGATTTTTCAACAAAATGGAGGTATCAAGATCGGCATTGTCGTCATTGATGTTTATGTTATCGCTGCCGCTTTCATCGTCATCGAGGAATCGACGCGCTAAGATGGTTGAAGTTGAAGTGGTGGAAAATTAAGTTCGATTGATGGAAAATGAAGCTTGATGGAAAATGAAGTTCGATTGATGAAAAATAAAGTTGAAGTTATGGAAAATGAAGTTGAAGTGGTAGAAAATGAAGTTCTATTGATGGGAAATGAAGTTCGGTTGATGGAAAATGAACTTTTCCAAATTACTTTTCAATGCGGTAGATTTATGATTCGTTATCAATGATTTAATTATTATGCTGTGTCAGAATCAATTGTAATCCATGTTTATTGAGATTAATAACATCATTTATGACTGTAACTAATAAAAATATCGCTGATATATTTTTTATGTTGTAATTTATACAACTAATTATGTAATTTTTTCAATTCAATAAAAATTAAAACTAGATAAATTATTATTTTTATGTCTTCGCCGGTATTTTTATAATCCTCAGAGTGTTAGCTTTAAGATCCACTATTATTTTTTTAAATTCTGACTTTTTTTAGCAAAGTTATCAGCGCCTCCAACGAAAAAAATTCCGAACTTTTAATACTTAAAAATCAAATTTTAGTAAATAAATATTTATAACAACCTTGCAGTCACTGTGTGACTGCCTTGACTTGAGAACTATAAAAAATTATAATTATGCTTTATTGAAGAATGAATTTTGTTTAATTGCACTGTACTTTCTTAAATATTAACATTTTCAAAGATATAAGCTCATCCCGATGTTACACTTATCAAGAGCTTTCATTTGAGTACCTACATGTATTTTTGATATATTTTTCATATATACATATATATAAAATATATAAATATATGAAAAATTGATGTGGGTACTCAAATGAAAGGTCTTGACGAGTGTAACATCAGGATGAGCTTATATCTTTAAAAATGTCAATAGTTCACAATATACAAGGTCTTTTCTTAATTATTGACATTTTTAAAGATATAAGCTCATCCCGATGTTACACTTATCAAGAGCTTTCATTTGAGTACCCACATGAATTTTTGATATATTTTTCATATATACATATATAGATATAAATATATAAAATATATGAAAAATTGATGTGGGTACTCAAATGAAAGGTCTTGACGAGTGTAACATCAGGATGAGCTTATATCTTTAAAAATGTCAATATTTCACAAAATACAAGGTAATTTCTTAATTATACCTGCGATAGCAACTGGAGTCCCGCTTGAAGCTATGCTCAGAGTAATCAGAACTGGTCTCGCAATCAGGACAGTTAGAAGTCAAGTGATGATGGCTGGTGGTCAATGAGGTGGTTTTAGATCCTGATCGCTGTGATTTAATAGAAGCTCGTGGTGACAGTGAAGAACGACGTCGGACACTTGTATGCAAATCCGGCAATGATTTATGACAAGTTGTATCAGCTGGAGGTGATATATTTAATTTTCTTTGGGTTGTTTTTCCAGATGAATGCGAATTGCTGCGGCCGAACTTCAGTCTTACATCCAAAGTATTTGAATGCTAAATTAAAAAATAAATTTTTATAATAATAATTAAAATTAGAAATTAAAAATTAAAAATTAATAATTATATTTTTTTATACTAATTAAAAGAAGAAATATAAATAAATAAATAAAATTCACCTCATGCCCAATAGGTGACAAAAGTGTCGGATTATCTGAAGAAAAAAAAACATTTTCTTTGCTGTCAGTATTAACTAATAATCTCCTTAATTTTGTTTGTAATTGGTCGCCGCCGTTGCTGCTTGGTGGTCCGGATATTGCGCGTCTTTGCGGTAGTGAACATATTAGTCGTGGACTTTTGGGTGGCAATGCTGGTGGCAGTGTACGTTGTGGACTCAATAGGACATCTAAATTTAATTATTAAGTAGATTAATAATTAATTCATAATTTCCTTTACTTAATTAATAATTTATAAAATTATAAATTAATTAATTAACGTACTGTCTTGACAGTTGGACCAGCAGCAGGGACCAGATGTTGCAGACTGCGAGGATCCTTGAGACGGTATATTGCAGGTCAGTGTATTGCATTTGCGTAATAACCGCGGCGGAGCACCTGCCGCTGTCGAGGCTGCTACTTGAAGGTGTCCGCTGTTCTTTAATTCTTGTTTTCTGTCTAACACTATCTCACTTTTAACGTAAAATGCTTTTGATTCTTGAAGTAATTCTACTGCGCTTTTTCTTTTTCCTAAAAATTTAAATAAAATTAAAATTAATAATTTTTTTCTGAAAAATTATTTTTTAAAGTTTGTATTTATAATTTTTTTTTTAATTTTTACATGTCAATTATTTTTGCCATAATTTATTTGTTAAAAAAAATATTAAATTAATTTTTATATAATTTTAAAGGTAGAATTTTTAACAGCTGATTCAATTGTCTAGCTAGTTTTAGCTTTATTGATTATTTAAGAATTGATGGGTTCAATAACCGGATTAATATTTTAGTGGTTATTTATTATGAATTTAAGTAGAATAAATTGACTGAAATTTTTATTAAAATGTTTGGAAAGTTAAATTAAAAAATAATATTGTACTTAAAAAGTGTCTTAAGATAAAAATTAATTTAGACAAAATGGCGGCTGCAATTCCTGCGCCACCAAATGGCGGCTAATACCAAGCGCGGCAAATTAAAAAATGACTTGTAGAGAATTTATTTTAAAAAATTACACTTAAGGAGATCCACGTTAAGAAGTTAAATTTAAATAATTAGTTTAAATTTTTTTTAGAAAAAAAAATTTATTACTTGTTTGTTAAAATCGACTTAAAACAGCCGAGACCAGTGATTGCAGTTTCAATCGGCTTAGCAAAACGAATGGAAATTTTGAAAAAACCTTTTTAGAGAAAATATAGATAATTTAATAAACTATTTCACCGCAAAAAATTTTTTTCAAAAATTTCATTTGTTTCGTGAAACCAATCGAAACTGCAATTGCTCTGCTGTTGGGAGTGCGACAGAGATAGTTCCGTTGAACTCCGTGAGAGCAAAGCGAGAAAAAGATGGTCTCGCCTGTTAAAAAATAATTATTCAAGTTTTTATTTCATAAAAGTGTTTTATAAAAGGCTAATTCATTAGAAATCATGAAAAAAAGAGATTGTCAAGAGTATTCGACAAAATGGCGGCTTGTACAAAGCGCGGCAAATTTAAAAATGTAGAGAATTTATTTTAATAAGATACTTAAGGAGTTCTAACGGTAATTCGGAGTGCTATATTTTTTATTAGTCAATTAAATGTTAATAATTATTTAATGAGTAGAATTTATCGGAAATTTCCTCAAAAATTTTATTAATTTTAAAAAATTAATTTTAAGATAACAAAAATATTTCTATTATTTTTTTATAGACATTCTTTACACTCGGAGGGTACTTGGATCTCCTTAATAAATTAAAGACATGAATTCTTTTTACGGCAACCATTAAGTGTCGGTAAATTAAAATAAACCTTGTACCAAATAATAAAAATAGCGGTCGGTGGTTACCTGTATGGTCAATTTGTCTATGCTGGGACCTGACGTAAGTCGGATTAGATTGTCTTGTCTGGATGTCCCAGAAGTTTGTTCTAGCAGTGTTGCCGGCAAACAAATTTCCACTTGCGCTGCTTTGTCGCTGGTGGTGCTGCTGGTACTCATTTGAGCCGGATGTTTTGCAGGGTAATCTTGCCATTGCGGTCATCATTTTTTCATGGTCAGTAATTAATATTTGTATTTATAAAAAAAAAATATAAACATAAATAAAAATGCGCTGTCATTTGAATTTAAATATTTAAATATTTAAATAATTAATCGAAGTTATTTTTTAGGAATATTGTTTAGTGTCTGCAGTCCATCAGGAACTGGCATTTGTTCCGTCCACGCCTCAACCCCATTTCCGCGCTATTGTCTGCGTTCTAGAACAATAAAAAACATTTTTATCAGCAAAAGGAGCTGAGAGTGTGTTGTATTGTGTTGTATGTATGGAATAGCACTAGAGTGTTGTGAAGGGTCTATCTCGAGGAGCAGGCAGGGGATCAATGTATAATAGACATTGAAGTAAAGGTGAGCACGTGCCTCGGTCCTTTTGTTTAAAGGGCTTGCTCTGTTTCAGGCACGCTCTATTAATTTTATTAATTCATCTGAACATTTTTAACTTCCCGCTAAGAAAATCTAAAATTTTCAAAAGATTCGGACCGTTAGATTTGGAGAAATCGCAAAAAAACTACAAAAAAAAATTTTTCAAAAGTAGTTTTTTTGGAATAACTTTTAAACGGCTTTACCGATCAATTCCAAAAACAAATCAGCTCTTAACATCAAAAAACCACGTCGATCGCCGCCAGTCCGGTCAAAATCGGTTGATTCGTTCGTGAGTTATCGTTGACGAAAGAAAACCGAAAGAAGTGTTTTTTTGCGCGGAATTACTCCGAAGTTTTCCGCTCTATCAATATAGACTTAAAAATTTTTCATGAAGCTTAAAAAACTGCGCTGAATGCCACGAACCACGTAAAATTGGTTCATTCATTCAAAAGTTATTGGGATTTAAAAATTCAAAAAATAGTGTTTTATCAAATTTCTATCAAACTTTTGAGCTCAAAAGCATACAAAAGCTATTTTTTGAGCTTGGACAGCTCAAAATAATACACAAATTGTATTTATAACCTCGAAGAGCTCTAAAACGTCATAAGTGCAATTTCAAGCGTTTAGGTATAGAATTGGCGGAAAGTTGCAGGAAAGGCCTTCAGTGTCAACCGTTTTCCTAATTTTTTTCTTATGATTATTATTTACCAATCGAATTTTTTTTGCATCATCTAAAAGGTTCTGAAGCCAAACCGTGAATTATTTTTAATTTAATTCAAATTTTTTCGTAATTTCATCTCCGCGATTCCGTATCGGAAGAAATACAAAAATGACAATTGAGTCAATTAAAAAAAATTTTCTATTTACTGTTTATAATTATTAATCAAAAATTAAATTCCTTTTAGCCCTGATTTAAATCAAATCCTTACACAATTCTCTAAATAAAAATATATAACCTAAATAGCTGAAGCGAAAAGTCATAAAATTCCGTATTCTCTAATTTAAAATCCGGAAATTTCAAAATATATATTTTTAATAACTATAAAAAGTGTAATTTGAACGCCATAAAAATAATAACAATTTAGCATAAAGATAAAATAATAATAAAACGCTGACATTGCACACAATACTCATGAATTGTCCTCATTACCTTTCACGATGTTCAATGGGTGATTTGATAGTGTGTGACGTAAAACCTGATTTGTCGAACGGTATTTCCGTTAGTACGTGTACACACCTATACAATACACCTGGAGCTCATCACACTCGACTTTTCTCAATGCTTCCGAGTCAATTTTATTTTACTAATTTATAATATTCATCTGATCGCAATAATTCTATTTCTTCTTACTTTTCATTTCTTCACGGAGAATTTTTTATTTATTTTATTTAGCTGCCCTAGAAAAAGTGTTGCCTAGAGGCTTGAGGTATAATTTACATCATAATTACAATATAAATAAATCAGCAATTATTTTTGAAAATTCATAATTGAGAAGTCTGAATTATGACGACTTTATAAATAAATTTTGAAAATAATAGTGCTATCTAAAATTAACCTTTTTAATATTTAAAAATATAAAAGATAATTATGAGCTGTGATAGAATTTGGGCTTTTACAATAAATGTTATTATAATGTAATATAATTAATGCAAATAATTTATAAAGATCTCGACCTTTCCAATTATACTAAATTTAATTTAAAAAAAATTCTCTTAATTATATAGATTATTAAAAACCTAAAAGCCTATTCCATAATTAAATTGCGGTAATTATTGAAAATATATTATAAACTCCTCTCTAATATTTTTTTATTGTTTCAGGGTCGCTCCATAAAAAATTTCCCAAAGAAATCTAAAAAAAAAAAATAACATGTGAGTTATCTTTACATTATCTTATCGTGTGAATTGAAGCATGGAAGATGCCCGGATGTGCACGTGCTCAAGTAAAGCTTCCTGGGGCGTTTTTTATTGTTATAAAAGTATCTCGGAAGTATCGAGACCACACCGGGGTTTTAATATCGTGCATAACAATTCAATAACTTATTTGGATCGACAAGTAATCGATTCCGCTCAATGTTCTGTGAAGAAATCCGCCTCTATTAGTATAGGTACTGTACAAAAAAAAAAAAAACACCTCGCTGGAGGTGTCACGAAAATATCTGACCGTCGCGTTGGTCTCCGAAAATAAAAAATCTATTAATAGAGATAAGGAAGAAAAAAAAAGCATTTATCAATGAACAGTTAAATAAATAAATAGAATGTCCGTTGATGAAATGGCATGAATAGAAAGGGAGTATCGATTTGAATCTCCGACCTTGGACGAATAAATGAGCCAAGTGTTATGTTTTATATTACTTATACTTTTTATACTTTACATACATATATTGTAGTGTGTTATATGTAGATAGATATTGGAAGTTATGTTCAATTCATATGTGATGTGTGTAACAATGAGAGACATAAGCTATTTAATATTGAATATTGATTCAAGTGTCCGGGCTTTTATTATTTTATCTGGCAGAATTGTTTTGTTTTGCGGGATATTGTGTGAGCTGTTCTAATAGACGATGTCTAGAAAGTTGGAAATTTTTGGTATAAAATTTTATTTAATTATTTAAAGATTTTTAGCTTAAGAAGAAATTTTTGGACCAAAATTTAGTGGGTTATGTAAGATTTATAAAGAAGAAATAAAGTTTTTGGAGATTGAAAGAGATATTTTGTAAATTTGTTTTCATATATTTTTAATATGGGGCATTCCACGCGAAATGGAAAAATGAGTAAAATTTTAAAATTTCTCTAATTCATTCTAATTTATTATTAAAAGTCTATATTTTACTAATTAGTAAAGAAAATTTTTTTTAATCAATAAGAAAATGGATTCTTCTCTCCTAGTAACTTAAAAAGTAGTGGAGGTTTTTGACAAAGGGATGTTGTTAATTATAGTTATTCTTCTAAGGTAAAAGCCTCAATTATTGACAGGGGTCTGAATATTGACACACTAAATTATTTTTAAATATATTTAATTATCTGTAATGAGAATAACTATCATATAAATTTTTATTAAATTCTAATTAATTAAAAAATTGAAAAAAATTACTGTCAGTTAATATTAAATATTAATTATTAAAAAATAAAGTTAGCACCAGTTAAAACCTTACGAGCGTCTATTTTCTTAATAAATTTGGTTAGAAAAGCAATTTTTTTAAATGCTGTTTAAATTAATTTCTTCATCTAGTTATATGATCTTTTTTTTTTTTTTTTCAATTAACAATATATGAAAAATTTATAAAATTGAATAATCGAAATTAATTGTTTCCTTTATAATATTTAAATAATGGGTGTCAATAACTAGTTGATAATTTTTAAGTTGAATCTCATATTGACAGCCAGTCGACAGCGCTAAGACGCCTTTTTTTGACTTTAACTTAAAAAATTAACTGTAAGAGTTTGAACTCTTCTGATTAAATAAATTATTTTTTATATTTTTAATAGTAATTAATCATTTATGGAAATTATTATTAATAAACTTTAATAATATTGATTACTTAATAATAAGTTTCGATAAATAAGAATAAGCTGATGATTCTAGGCATGCACAGTATAGGTGTCAATAATTGGGGCTAAGGTATGTCAATAATTAGATCAATCAGTTTTTTAACCTGTCAATAATTGGTGTCTCTGGATAATCTATTTAATTATTTAAAATTAATTAGTAAATATCAGTGATTATGATTTTAAAAAAAGAAATTGATTAGTAAAAACATTACTTGAGAAATTACCACAAATAAAATTCAACGATATTGATATTTTATTGCTTAAAAAAAAATCAAATCATAACTTTGTCTCTTATAGTATCAATAATTAGGGCTTTTGAATTTAACAAAAATTTTGAATTTATATAAGCAATAGATAAAATTCATCAAAAAAAATTTTTTTTATAAATTACAACAATTTTCTGAAGAAATAAATTAAAAAAAAAAAAGGAAATAGTTCCGGAAAATCTAAGATAAAAATAAATATTTAAAAATCAATAAAAAGAATATTGTTATTATTGAATGTCATGATTTTCTCGGTTATTGATAATAACAACAATGATGAAGATGATATTGAATAGTGACATTGAATTAGTTTCATGGGGCATGAAGAACAAAAGGTAATTTACAAAGCAACGAGTACGAGAGTGAAACAGAAACAATTACTCGCGCTTGTTTTATCGAGCGTTTAGTTACTTCTACTCGTATATATTTATATATCATCCGCATTATGCATTACACTATTTTAATAAATACATATGTTACATAACTGTTAAGATAAATCAAAACAATATCTTGTAATAGAAGAAATTTATTAAAGAAATCATTTTGTTTGAGTAAATAGCTAAAAATGAGAGCAGTTGACGTAGGTTTGAATAAAAAACCTAAAGAGCAATAAAAAAGAGTGAAATCGATCGTATGTGGGAAAGGTTTTAGCTAAAGCTGCTAGTGCTCTCTCGTTTAACATTAACTCCTCTACTCGACCTTTTTTTTTACATTAATTTATATATTTTTTACAATTAGCCTTCTTGCTCCCGGTAATTAAAGACCGTTTTTTATCGGGGAATTGACCTCGAGGTTGACGACGTCCAGATTAATTTTAACGATCCGTCTGCGAATTGTTTTATTCGCCAGATATTTTATCAGTCTAATTTTATTTGGAAATTGATTTGTAATTTCAGAGCTTGGAGAAGAATCTTTAAAAATTTATCAGATCACAAATTAGATTTCTTCATTACGAATCTTAAAATTATGATAACTTTTGATCTATTGTTTCTAAAAATTTTTTTAAGGGCTCAAAATTTTCCTTAAGCCTCCCTCTACACTTTCCAACCAAAATTTTTCAAAATTATTACATATTAAAAATTTATTAAATATTTTAAACTTAAAATTAAGAATTTTGTTTTTTTCCAAAAATTTAATATTAAAAATGAATAAAAAAATTCATTAGATAAATTTGATCTATTATTTACATAAATTAAAAATTTTTTATTCAAAAATACAATATTAAAAATTGAAAAAAAATAATTTTCTTTTTATAAATGTCAAATTGACAATCCAAAAAAATTCAATAAAATTTTCTAATCTTTAAAAAGCTAAATTTTTCTTTTCCAGGCCCAGTAAAAATTGTAAAACTCTCTCGCAACAATTAAAACAATTATCTGAGGACAAAATAAATCAGTCGGATGTAGAACCATAAAAAAACATTGTCTAGTTTCCCAGTTGAACGATTAATAATAAAATAAAATCGTACAATGAAGAGCAACAACAAAAACAAAATATTTTCACTTTACGCTTCCATGGATTCCAGTTGTCATTGATAGAGTTTCTAATGTCTAACTCGGCTCCAATTATGTATATAAAATATTTATGCCATATATATTTTATATATTTTATATCTATCATATATTTAACTGGGTTTCATGTTTTATTTTATTATCATTTATGTACAACCTACGCAGCTGTTGTATTCCTATGATACAATTTTTTTTTTTTTTTTTATGGCTACACATAACCGGAAGATAATTATTTTAAATACGCCTTCGCTCAGTGTTGCTTTTATTACAAAGTTAATTTAATAAATTAACAAGTTTTTTTAATTATGGGAATTTTTTTAAATTTCACGCTTCTTTGGGATATTATAAAATTTTTTTACAATTTTTACTTTATATAAATATTGATATTAAAATTTCACACCATAAACTTGAATTAAAATCAATAAAATAAAAAATTTTTTACAAAAATAACTTGAAAAAAAATACTTGAAAAATTTATTAGAAAAAAAAAAACCGGTCGTTAATTAAAATGCAAACAGTAAATAATTATAACAGTGTAAATAATTTGTATTTTTCTCATGCTAAAACCGTTAAAATTGTCCATTGAGATTTTATGCGCTGACATAGTTCCGTGTGATTAAAATTAAAGCATTATATTAGATTGCTAATTAATACTGAGCAATTATCGGTAATATATTGATAGCTTATAAGTAATTATTTATTTATTTATTTATTTATTTATTAGCGAGTCGGGTGAGTTAGGTGCGATCAATATAAAAGTTATCCGTATTTATGTTATTCCTTTCGCACCCTCTTATTTTATATGTTGCGATTGTTAGAACATGCGTGAGAGAATTGAATAAAAAATATTATTTTTTAATTTTCGAGTAAAAAAATTTATAATTAAATTTTCTATTTAAATAAATAAAATTTTGCTTTATTAAATAATGACTTTAGTTAAATTGCACCGTACTTTTTTAAATATCGACATTTTTAAAGATATAAACTCATCCTGATGTTATACGCAACAAGAGCTTTTATTTGAGTACCCACATGCATTTTTGATATATTTTTCATATATACATATATACGATTTATATAAATATATGAAAAATTGATGTGGGTACTCAAATGAAAGGTCTTGACGAGTGTAACATCAGGATGAGCTTATATCTTTAAAAATGTCAATATTTCACAAGATACAAGGATTTTATATGACTACCCTGGAGACAAAATTCTTCTTATTCTCTTAAAAATCTAGATAATAAAAAAGATCTTAATTAACTTATTTAAAAACATTATTTATTAAAAATACATCAATACCCGGGGATGATCCTCCCCTTCTTCGACGCCCTCTTCAACTTATGAGTCTTCTTATCCTTCTTGCGCTTCAAAATATTCTCCTGGCGCTTCTTTTGCCTGGTCTCAATATCCTTCTGCACTTTGTTAGTCCTAGCCTCCCATTTTTTCGCGCTGTGCTTCTTCAAGTGTTCCTTGCGCCTAATCGTCTTCTTCAGGAGCTCCGGGTCATCTAGGACCTTAAAAAAAAAAATTAATTTTTTTTCTTAAAAAAAAAAAATAATTTAAAAAAAAAAAATTTTTTTCCACCCTGGTTCTCCAGGTGATTTTCCAGGACTACCTCCAGGAGTACCTAGGCTTGTGGGTACTCATTCTCCAGGGAATTTAATCCCCTATCCCCTAAGCCCACTCCCGTCATCCCCGCACCAACGATTCTCGAGATATTGAATAATTTATTAAGAAACTCACCCGCTCGCCAGCAGCTCGAGCTAAGATCGCGCGCCAGGAGTCTTTCTGCTCGAGTTGTTTCGCTTTTTTCGTCTCACCAGCTGCCTTTAGTTCCTGTAATTTTTGCTTTTTAGTCTTGAGCTCCTCCAGCCGCTTCTTCGGGTCCTTTGAGCCCAGGAATTTTTTTGGGTGCTTCTTAGTTCCGATTTCGGAGAAATCAAATTTTGAAAAAATCATGTGACCTTCTGCGTTAAATACTGGCTTGATTTTTGAGTAAGTTATTTTTTTTCCAGGTTCTGATTTTACGTTTGTAGCTAAAAAAAATTTTGAAAGTGTTAAAAATTTAATTATTAATTATTTGAATCAAAAATACATTATTATTATTAATAATAAAAAAAATCTAAATAAGAAAAATAATATTTAATTTAAGAGAAGAAAATTAAAAAATTCTTAAAAAAATTAGACAAAATTAATAATAACAATAAAAAAATAAAATAATAATAATAATAAAATATTTTTTTGCTATAAATTATTTGATAAAATAGAAATCTAAAAATTATTTATTAATTAATAATTTTTAAAAAAAATAAATTATAATAATTACCCAATTTATGTGAAGTCAACGGCATTTTATCAAAAATATTTTGAATGAAATCATCCTCTTCTTTAATAGATGATTCTAATTTTCCTTGTAAAGTTTTATTTTTTACCTCCTTCATTTTGTAAAATTAAATATCTGAAAAATAATTAAATAAATATTAATTATTTAACTTATTAATAACAAATATTTTACTTACCTTTTAATATTTTTAATAATTTCAGGTTAGAATTAAGGACTTATTTATTCCAGTCAATACACGAGCATGCGTTCAGCTCCGTCTGGTGGAAATATTTATTACTTATATTTCTAACCTACAGAGGCGCTAGTTGTCATTTTTAAATTTATAAATGTCGCGGCTGGTAAGGAAGAAATCATAAAATTACGCGGGAAAAATTCAAAATTATTTTTTTTATTTATAAAAAAATTAAAATATAATTTATTTTTTAATAAATAAATAAATAATTTTATTTCTTAATTATAATTTTTTTTATTTATTTTACTAATTTAATAATAAAATTTAATTAAAATAATTTTTATAGCAAAAATTCAAATTTTTTTAGAAAAAAAATTTTTTTAAACTTTCTCAGAAGATTACTAAAAGTACACTTATCATTTTCATGTCTTCGCTGGCATTTTAAGAATCCTCAGAGTCTCAGCTTTAAGATACACTACTAATTTTTTCAATTCCGCCATTTTTTCTCAAAATTTTCAACGCCCCCAACCCAAAAAACCCGTTTTTCCCGAAAATTCCTCTATTTTACAAATTCTTCCATCTTTAAAAATTCATAACTTTGATTCTAATTAAAGTAAAGACACCGGACTGATTTTATTTCACTAAGGACACTTGTAGGTACAATTTTTGTCAACAACATTTTTTTCTACCGCCATTAGTTAATTAATTAAAAATTATCAAAGTATAAAATTCACAATTTACAAAGAAAAAAAACTTTTTACTTAAAAAATAGCACAAATTAACATAAAATTACAATTTTTAATATGTGATTTGAAAGGAAATTTAATTTCCGACAAATTTTGTCTCTTATAATTTTTTTCTAAACTCAATAGTTTCCGAGATATAGCTATTTTTTTGAACTTTACAGACTTAAGGTCATAAAAGCAATTATTATAATTATTATTATTGTTATTATTGAAAATAATTTATATTTTTAAGCTCCTTAGACCCTAAAAAACATTTTAAAAATTTTTCCGATCAAAATTCGATCATTTTAGCTCATTTTTTTTCAAATTCGCGGTTTTTGGCGGGAAAAACCGCTTTTTCCCGCCAAAAACCGCGAATTCCGCGAAACTCGTTAAAAATTTTTTTCAGCTAGGTCTTGTGGGTACTCAAACTTCATGAAATGACGTTCTCTATATGAAAAAAGTCTTAAAAAATTTTTCTGATGCCCAGTGTCCGAAAAACCGACCCTTTGTACCAAAAACGGACCTTAGATGTTTTTAAAAAAAAAAGTAAAAAAAAATTGTATGATTATGGTAAATAATGTTCTCTGGTATGCGGGTGAGAAACAGCTCGAGGCCGCTACCGCGATCACGCCTACATTTAAAACTCCGTAACCCAGAATCTGAGCGTTTGGTTCGCCGGGGGCATCTTCCTCATCCTCGTTCTTATTTTTTTGCATCCACCTGCTAATTCAACACGCAATCAGACACGAACGCCCCCGCGGGCACACGCCAGCGTCACGTGAAAAAATTTTGATTCTTTAAAAAATAAAAATATAAATAAAAATTGGGCCTTAGAATTATAAGGGGAGGGGGATTTTATTTTGGGACTACTGTAAAAATTGCGCAGTGTTCGTGTCTTGAGAAATTACTAGGTAAGGAAGTAGTCGAGTCTAGTGATTATAGGGAAGGTGGTGGGGGGTAGGAAAAATGGCAGCTTCCCACGCTCGGAAGTTCAATTCGCCCTGGGCCTCAAGTACCTGCTACCTCGGGTTTTGCAATCGATCATTTGGGACTTGTGGGGAGGGAGGGGGTAAGGCCTAAATTTATTTAGGAAAATTTTAGACTTGGGAGTATTGAAATATTGTTTAATTTAAAAAAGGCCCAAAACATATTTAAGGCCCAAATTATTCATAAGGCCCAAATATATTTAGGGCCCAAAATTACTCAGAACAATTTATAAGTTTTTTTATTAAGTTGTAGCAAGGCCCAAAAACACGCATAAGGCCCAAAATACACATAAGGTCCAAAATTTTAGTACCTTTAAAATAAGGCCCATTTTTTTTAAATTCTGTCTAGTGGCAAACAATATAATAGTAAAAATTGATCAGTAGCGATCAACATTCCTGGATCGTAAAATATATTGGGCCTTACACACTGGTGTTTAGCTTTAGCTCACAGATTTTGACACGAAAGAGCATTTGGGATTCCTGTGTAATAATAAATAAACTATAATCCATACCGCATACAGTTCTAGCCGGAGGTTATTTCCCATGAGTTGAGGGCGGACTGCTGGCCAGTACTATGCTTTTTAAACCCAATCATCCCCATTCCCCGCTACCTTTTTTTTATCCTTAAGCTTGAGATCTACAAGGATGAGGATGAGGATGTAGATGATGATTTTTAGCTCTAGGGGATACGAGTTGTGAATATGCGTGTTCGAGTCAAGTACACTCGGTAATCGTCAAGTTAAATATTTTTAATAAACTGAAATTAAAATTATGGACCTTCGTTGGGCCTTATGGGGTCAATTTTTTAATGCAACATTTTTTTTTTATTTTTTAATACTTCATATTCACTTAAAATATTTTTTTAATTTTTGGGCCTTATTTGTAATTTTGGGCCTTATTTTGGGGCGTATGACTTTGGGCCTTATAATGAATTTTTGTGTTTTGTTAAAATGATAATAATAATTAAAGTAATAAATTTTAAATAATAATTAAAAATTGGGCCTTACTATTAATTTTGGGCCTTAAATAATTTTTTAGTCCGGATATAAATTTTCTAGAGACATTGCGATCTTATCAACCATGCAATTTACAGTTTTGGCCCTTAAGGCCCAAATATTGGGCCAGTTGTCAATACGAGTAAACAAACGTTAACTTTCACTAACTTTTAATAATCTTAATTGAATAATCTACCATAGCATTCCGAGCAAGCATAAAATATTACTTGACTTCCGTTGAAAACAGGGACCGACATATTGGGCCTTACGTGAGTGAAGTGTCTCATATATGTTTACTTGATATCGATCAAAACGCGAACGATATGTCTCGGACGTCTTGTACTCAGTTTAATGCATAATACATAATACATGCTTGGAATAATCTTGAGTGTGCATGCGGTTTTCGGGCCTTATGGGCCTTATGTGCGACGCTGGGTAGTCACAGTAAACTTACGATTGTTATTAATTAGGCAGTTGGCTTTGCGCCAGGTGTAATGCTTCACCTGCAGCCACATATACGCCGCAATACTTTTATCATATTTTAGGCCCAATATGTAAGGCCCAAAATATTTTTAGATCACCAGTGACATCTGACCCACATCTGTTTGTCTATTTAAAATGTTAGGTGGTAATTTTGATTTATTTTGATTAATAAGACCAATAAATCTTAATAAGGCCCAAAAATAAATAAGGCCCAAAACAAAACTGAGGCCCATATATAAATAATAAGGCCCCATTTTATACAAAATACTGAATTCCATGTATAATTTTTTCAAGGGCACAAAAATTTTTCATAAGGCCTAAAATGTAACACGGTGTAATATAAGGCCCATATTTATAATAAGGCCCAAAATAAATTTTTTTAAAAAACATAATTTTGTTTAACTTAAAATTGTTACAAACTACAATAATTCAAGGATAAGACCCCAAATAGAAAATAAGACCCACAATAGCAAATAAGGCCCAAAATTAAAATTTAATAAAAATGAACTAACAAAAAACTTCCGGATGATAAAACCGACCATAAGGCCCAAATTTTTTCTATCATATTAAAATGAAACCTAGATATAATTAATATTGAACAAAGTTCCGGTTCCGGCACGTGGAATCTGCCGTCTGGAGAAATAAAAGTACATAATGACTAAAAATAAAAAGCAAAGAGCAAGAGCACAATGAGCAGGCTTCGAGGCCCGATGTCCAATGTGAATAAAAATAAGGAAAAGGAAGAGTGGAAGTTACACATAACAAAGAATGGAATGAAATGAGTTTGGATGGTTGCACCTGACGTGTCGGGGGCCGGCACGAACCGCCTTCTTAAACAGAGATCCTTGATATCGATACCGATAGTAATCTGGCGAATTAAGATCGAATGTGTCCGCTCGACAAATAACCCGATAATATAAATAATTATATTCTCTAAGAAACTCAATTGAATTGAAAAGTGATCGGTGAGTTATCGCCTAGGACTCGCCCCTAAATCTTCAGAGAACACAATTGAGCTATCATACTGACCATGCAGAAATTATAGAGTTGTAACGGTGATAAGTGGTGATAGGCAACATTTTTATTTTACAGCTGCTAATTAATATTGAAATTTATTGATGATTTAAGAAAACTGTTCTTTAATTTTTACCAAAAATGAATTTTTGTTAAGAAAAGATAGACTTAATTTTGATGAAAAATGAAGTTCAATTGATGGAAAATTATGCAAATCTTACAATTTTCATAATAAAGTTCAAGTGATGGAAAATAAAGTTCGATTGATGGAAAATGAGGTTGAAGTGGTGGAAAATGAAGCTCAATTGATGGAAAATAATGAATATGTGATGGAAGTGATGTAAATGTTACGATTTTCATAATAAAGTTCAATTGATGGAAGATAACATTCAAGTGATGGAAAATGAAGTTGTATTGATGGAAAATGAAGTTCAAGTAATGGAAATGATGTAAATATTACGATTTTCATAATAAAGTTCAAGTGATGGAAAATAAAGTTCGATTGATAGGAAATTAAGTTCGATTGATGGAAAATGAAGTTCGATTGATGGAAAATGAAGTTCAATTGATGTAAACGTGATGAAAATGATGTAAATACTAGGATTTCTATAAGAAAGTTGAATTGATGAAAGATAAAGTTCGA